ATAAAGGTGTTTTAAACCCTTCCCACACTTGCAATATTCTAAACAATGTTTCTAAACTCTCAACTCTCTAAAAGAGCACAGAATGTCATTATTTCAGCTCCCTGCCTCCTCTGCTCTTTGCCACCTGCAAGCGCTCTTAGCCACGCCCACTTCTCCGCTCTGCACTGTGAACAGCTGATCAGCTGCAACAGAAAGTTTATCCTGCAGTATGGGCTGCACAAAGGTGCAGGAGGTGCTAAATAATTTGAAATAATTTATTCTAAATAAAAATTCCATGCCGATCGTGCGGCTCATCCATCAATCAGCCAATTGTGTGTCATGTCCAATCTTATTTTGTAAAACTGCGATAGAACGAGTCCACGGTAAATGAACCATGAAGTAGCGAGGGACTATTGTACTTTTCTTTATTTAGTCCAAGAACACAAATGTGTAACTAAATGTGTGCTCTAGGTTCAAAAAGTATGGCCTCTGTTGTACAGGGTTGTAGAAGTAATCTGTGCAGGTGAATGCACAGATCATGTAAGGTGCGTGGCATCCCTGCAGTAAGCATGGTGTGCACTTGATTGAGGAAAAGCACTGGCATACTCGTGCACTTGCTTGAAATCTGGTATTATGCAATAAAGTGTTTTTTCTCAATTATAATTTAAATCCCCGTTAAGTGTCCAGTTTCAGTTTTGTCGTGTAAGCATGATGGCTCAGTGGTTAGCACTGTTGCCTCACAGCAAGAAGGTCCTGGGTTCAGTCCCTGGTGGGACCTGGGGTCTTTCTGTGTGGAGTTTGCATGTTCTTCTTGTGCTTGCGTGGGTTTTCTCCGGACACTCCGGTTTCCTCCCACAGATCAAAAACATGCAGGCTGCCTTCAGGCCCAGGCCTCCCTTGCAAAAGAGATCTGTGATTTCAATAGGATTTGCCTGGTTAAATAAAGGTTAATTTTAAATTTCAAGTTTATTCCCAGGAATTTTCCCTAATTCACACGAAAAGTTTCCAACTAAATATTCCTGGAATTTTGCAACCCCAGATGGGAATGACTCTCAGCTACTCCACCAAACTTGAGCTGGGAATCTGAGAAATTGACTGCGTTATGTATAGCCATTTCTGTGTTTGCGTAGGTGAGTTGGCTTTGGCAGCCATCTTGACTCAATTTCTGAGAGTTTCAATAATTTGTTCCAATTATTCATGAGATACAATATATATTTCTGACACCCACACATTTTCTTTCTGCAACCTGGGCTCGAACCTGCAGCCTAAAGATTACGAGGCCGTGACAATGACCACCAATCCATCACTGACGATGAGGATTTTTTTTATTCTTCAAAATTATACGTAGCTTGTTGAAATTGAGCAATTTATTACCTGGGTAGCAACAAGCTGGTTTTGCTTACAAGAGTGTCAGTTTGAAAACTGGATTTTTATTGGTCTGGAGTGATGTCATCTGCAATTGTTGCTGTATATGTAAAAAGGGGGATCCCCAAGCTTGATGCCAAACATACAAAGGGATTTCCTGGTGCTACAGCAACCAGCAGAAAATATGTTCCGTTTCAAAGGAAAATAAAAAGATTAAAAATAAAAGGATTATTTCTGAACACATACCTGACAGACAACTTTGGTTTAGAATTAGATTAGGAAGATTGTTATTTTAATTACTTGGATTGCACAGAAATATGACAAAGATCAATATTTTCATGTTTGTTGCACAGCAGCCTGTTCACATTCTGACTCATTTTGCCAACATGAAACAGTTTTATTATTTTTAATGTGTTGGAGTCACTTTTTATTGTGTCGTTTCAGACTTCGAATGCAAACTGGACAAATACTCGCAGCCATTATGCTACTGGGAGCCAAGCAGCCTGCTGATCTCAAGCAAAGGAAAGGATTTCAGGAATTCAGGTTCACCAAGAAACATCCGAGACGAGCTGCCACCAGGAGCTCAGTGGTAGGGACATTTTGGTTTGCACCTCAACACTAAAACATTAATCACTGGTAAAGTTCAAGAGCCCCTTGTTCAAAACCAGCTCTGACATCACAGAGTACCAGACGCCTTGTACAAAGCGTCAACAGTAGATGGATTGATTTAGTACAGGGGTGGACAGCATTTTTTTAATAGAAAATTTCATTAAGACAGATAACCTGGAAGATATATATTTTTTCTTGTAGCATCGTTAACATGCTTGGGAAAAAAGCATTCCCAATATTTTATAGCAATATACAACATACTTTCTGTAAACTGGCTTTATTATCTTAAATAAGCAACAAAAATGTTATATGCTTGCTTTTTGGAGTCTTCAGGGTTCAATGTAGTTCTGGAAGTCTAACAACTTGAAAGTTTTACCCTATCTTGAGCTAAATGGTTTTGTTGTCATTGTCCAAGAGGTTTAATTTAAACTTCCTTAAGTTTAATTTGTTTAACAAACTTTTTAAAAAGTTTTCTTTTTAATTAAGAAATTTGGGGACCATATGGACCTTGGCCAAGGGCCACTTTTGGCCCACGGGCCATACGTTGTTCACGTTTGATTTAGTACTGCGAGATATTCAGTTTGGTTGTGAACTACAGTTTGTTGGTCTCTGTACAGAGATGACATTAATTTCATTTAAAAGTAATTGTAAAATTGTGGTAACATACAATGTTTACATGAAGAATACAGTCTGAAAAACTTATCGGGCAACCGAGAAACGTTTTTGTATTTTTTGCTCTTTTTTTAGTGTTGCTGTCGACTTTCTTGATTCACGGTTTTTCTGCAAAAATTCTCATCACATAAAAGGAAACGCTTTGATGAAAAAAAGACACCTTGAGATTCTGGGATACCGTGTTATACAGGTGAGAAAATAACTGCAGGAAATTAAATTCAGCTTTTTGTTTTATTTACATGTAGCTGTGTAAGTTATGTTGTTGGCCAGACAGCGAGGCATGTTGTCATCTGAAGGTTTGTTATTTTTACAGATTCCTCACTTTGAGTGGAACTCCATGGAGCTTTCAACACACGACGCATGGAAAGATTATCTCAGAAAGAAGATATTTGGTTAGCTTTTTTTTCTTTCTTATTTAAAGAATGGTGACAGACATGTTACTACATTCAGCACTCTGACTAAATAAGGTGTTACTATACATAACACACAAAAAAAAAGTACAATCTGAAGTTGACATGAATCTACCTCATTCATGTTAAGCAAAAATGTCTATTATGTGTTTTTGTATTAAATAACTTTTTAAAGTTTAACACTGCATTTGTTTTCTGCCAAGCTACCATTTTTAATCTGCATTCGATGTTGGGGCAGTGTTTTTGTTTGGATGCCCTTTCAATCAGACATTTAAAGATGACATGGAGTTAATATTTCTTTAGGTGTTATAAAACAAATATAAAATAGACATATCAAATCTGCTAGGATGATATTTTAATATGAGCAACGGCAATTGATAAGCACAACCAAAAATCTACTGAAATGAGACCAAAACGTTTAATAATAGAAACAATTGTCAATACATCTGCAAACCAAAAACTGTTCTGTCATCTTTTTCTCTTTTCCCCCACAAAAAGTAGAAATTAATCTTCATTTGTGTGTAGAACTATTTGCTCATTTTCCATAATGATAACGCTTGGTAGTAAGAAACCACATTATAAAAATAACTTAACATTTTTATTTCATGCGAGGACAAAAAGTCAGTTTCACTAAAGATTAATTTATCAGGAAAATAATGACAAAAATGATCAGCTAAATAAAACAGACACAAAATTCAACAATAACGCAGATAAATCTTTTTACAGTTTGGGCATTTTGGCAGGATTTAGACGCATGGAGACACACGAGGCTCCAGCTGCGTAACGCATCTCTCTGATCATGCCAGTCCACTGTTTTGTGTCATCTTCATACCTGAAGAAGACAAAAATGTTACTGAAGTGTTTACTGTGAGCATTAAAAAAAAATCACTTTATTAAATGAAAAAAATAAAATTAATGAACATACTGCCAAATGTCAATGATCTCAGTAGGTGCACACTCTTTGTTGTCATTCTCCAACATGGCAAAGCCTCCTACAGCGTACAGAAGCCCGCTGCAGCTGATCAGGTTCATTGAACTCCTCTCCTGAGGAAACTCAGTAAAAGGTGACCACCTGCAACAAAACACAGCTCAGCCAATGCATTTCCTCTCACATATTAGTCTATAATAATGTAGGTTGTCTTTGTCTTTCTTAAGCGAACAAAATACATGCACTTAAAAGTTAGGATCTTGTGAAGTAGGGTTCAGTGAAAAGGTTATAAATAATTATCTTACCTGTTGTAGATAGGTCTTTAAACAGGGATATTATTTCTGACTGGACTGACAACCCAACGGTTGACCAAAGTGTATCAATGCTGCCCCAAATGAACTTAAGCTTTCATGGAGGTTCATGCAAACACCTTTTATTTTTTAAAGCTTTATGACCTTTTAAGCAGTAATACAAGACTTTTTGGCAGAATAATCATGTAAAGTACAACTGAAAGCAGTGTAAATGTTGATAATGAAGAGTTTACATGAACCAACGTGAATTATTTGGGTTGAAGTTATTGTAAAACGGCAGCTATTGGTCTTGTCATCAATCTGGTTAAATTTACGCTCCATTTCTCCAAACTGAGTTAACCACAACAAATCAAATATTAATTGTTCATATCCATTTCACCAAACCCAACTTAAAAAACAACCTGAACAACAAATAGTTGAGCATGATAACAAAATGACTAAAGAGCAAAAGAGTCTGGATGAATACTTTATTCCCTCTAGGACCTGATGAAAATTTAATAAAGAATAACATTTGAAATAATCTTTGGCAATTCTTGCACAATAAAGTTATTGAGGATAATGTGCACCTAACAAAAAAGGACTCTAAATCCTAAAATAAAATTTGGAGGTAAAACTGACTGATCTGACTAATACATAAAACATTAAAACCATCATTCAGTGTAACCATGCTTAGTTAAAAAATAAAATGAAAACATTTATGTTAAAATCCGTGCTTACTTGTTGGTCCCAAAGTCATAGGCTTCACACGTAGCAGTCAGACCATCTTCATTGACTCCTCCAGCAACAACAATCTTCCCTTTGTGGAGGACTGCTCCGAACATGGATCTCTTGGTCTTCATGGAAGCAACCTCCTTCCACTCTGACTTCTTGTGGTTGTATGCAAACATCTTATTGGTTGCTTTACTTTAGACAGTAAGACAAAATGACCCACAGGCAGAGTTAATAAAACTTCATTTTGACATATGAATTGTTTTAAATCACCATCTTACTTGTCATCGGTTTTTCCTCCAACACAGTACACCAAGCCGTTCTCGGAGACCACACAGTGGCCGTGGATTTTTACGGGCAGCTTTTTTGTTTCTGTCCACCTCATTTTTCTACAAGCAAAGAAGAGGATCTGTTCAGGCTTCACTACCTTCTGCAAGGCTTCACTGAGAGATGTAACATCCTGAACTTACTCAGTGTCGTAGCACATGACGGTATCATGAGACTCACTGGACTGTAAATCTTTTCCTGCCACAGCAAAGATGAGGTTTTCAAATTCGCCCATGCCAAATAGACACCTGGGTGAAGGCATGGGTGGCAGAGCTGTCCATTCAGCAGCAAAACTGTCCAGCTAAAAACAAGAAATGTTAAAAAAAAAAAAAACAGAATTTTACTTTATTTAAAATGAGTTTTTCTACCTGATAGAAGTAACACTGCAGGGGATTTCCTTTGTCCTCTTCATCTACAAACAGTCCTCCCACCACGTACAGATTGTTCTTCTTAGACGTGACACTGACATGATTTTTGGGGATTTGCTCAGCCATTGCTACAAGGAAACATTCATTCTCTTGACTATCGTAGGCCACAGCAGCGGTGTCATTAATCATGAGAATCATGTCTTTGGCATACATGCCATATCTGCGGTCATCCTTCAGGTAACCTGGCAACTCGTCTTCCTCTCCCTCAACATCATCTTGTCCCTTTTTCTTCTCAGGTAGTTTTCCAGCAAATGCGTCCCTGATGACTTTCATCTTCTTGAGAAGCTCGGGATTAGCTTTTATCAATTCGTCTTTTTCCACTTTTTCCTTGAAGTACTTCTCTGGAAGCAGACGAAAACGAACGTACTCAAAAGCCTCTTCCAAGAACTTTGTGCGCTTTTCTTTGTCTTTATTGATCCACTTCAGGAGAGACTCAAAGACCACCTCTTCTTTTTCCACATTCAAGGCATCAGCTCCGATGATGGCAAAAAGCTCATGTGGAGCAAGCTCCAAGAACTCCTCGTCCTTGTTGACGGCCTCAAAGCGATCAGCAATGTAATCCCTGGCCGACATTGCCAGCCTGGCACAGTTCAGCATCAGTCCCAACCTGTAGATAGCAAGGCAGCTCTTCCTGGTCACCTTCTTCTGGAGATAATTCACACAAACCGTGAATGCCGAGGGGATCTGGAAGCGATTGGCAACAGCCAAAATATCCTGAACATTATTGTCGTTGATGTCTATCTCAGCCGAGTACAGATAATTCACTATCGCCTCCATAATGCTGGGATCAAGGTTCTCCAGAACAACCTCCTTTCTGTCCACTTCCTTGCCATCCTCGGAGAAGAAGAGCTCTCTGAAATACGGACTGCATGCTGCCAGAATGAGCCGATGGCTAGGGATGCTTCTGTCTCCAACCTTTAAGATACAATCAATTAACTTATTCTCATTCAGAAGCTCTTTGAGTCCATCCTGGAGCAGAGTGCTCTGAAACAGGCGGAGATCTTCTCTCAGGCCTTGGGCATCCATTCTTTTAGGGCAGGAAATGGATGGAAGAGGAGCGGTCAACCACTGATTGTCTGAAGAGAGGGAACTACAGGCAGCCGAGTCTCTGGCCTCTTCAATATAACTGTGGCCCTCTAAATATAGCCAGCTGCCCAGTCCGAGAAGAATTCAAGTTGGCCCAATTGGAGAGCTAACACAGCTGCCATAAACCAAAGACAACTGAGGCTTGTCACTCCGGTAATTAGCACCAACATTATTATCCTGCCACAACAAAAATAACTCATGAACTTTTCTTTTTATCTACTCTTGGCTTTCTGTTAGGAAAAAATATATAAAAACTTTCAAGATCAACAGCGCAATGTATTTTGTTACTTTTCTGTGTCCGACATCTATTTGTGGTTCTCTGAAGAGATTTATATGTTGACACACGATTCACTGATAGCAATGACCACTACAATGCAGTGATATTCAAAGGGAAGTCACCTAACCATCAGACGGGGTCAGTACACAGCTGCTACAAGTGGAGCCGGTTTATCCTCTGTGCCATTTTTAAAATACATGTGCATCGTTGTACTTTGTGTGGTTTCCCTTCACTTACTTGATTTGTTGATGTATTGTTAAATAAGTTAATCTCCAGCTTTTATTTAGATTTGTTTTATTCATATTAAACAATTAAAAACTGTTCATAAACATTTACTTTACAAGAAAAACATATTTAAGCAGGCCTACTACAATAAATGTAATTTTGTACATTTAAAACAAGTACCAATACACAAACTGTACCTTTAAATTTGATCTACAGATAAATAAATGCCCATTAGCTGTACAAGCACCAAATCTACAAAAACAAGTTTTTTTTATTTTTTTTAATTTCAGCCCATTACTTCCCACAGTCCTTGAAGAGTAAAGCCATCCTTCAGCTTCTCGATAGCGAGGCCAAGGTCCTCAGAGAAAACCGGCTCACGGTCTTGTTGCTGTAATATTCAAATTAATAAATAAGTTTTTTTTAAAGCACAACATACTAAAAAACTTTATTTTGTAAATATATTGATAAAAAGTTACATTTTACCTTATTGCCATCAGCAAAGTAGGCCTGTAAGTAAGTACACATACACGTAATAAATACAGTTAATGTAAATAACCAGGATATTCTGCTTGTTATAGTAAGTTATTGTTGCTGATGAGCAACACAAACAGGAGCACTAAGCAACATGGGTTCCTGTTTGTTCGTTATGCCGAGAAACATTAGCTCACAGCTATTCTGAGAGTCGGACAGCGTTTAAACTCCCGCGGGAGTGATGAGTGTTAAAAAAAGCAGACGGGTTTACTCACAGTGAAAGCATCGGTCTGCTCGTCTGGCTCGATTTCCACGTCATCAGGAAGCTGTTCCACGGTGAGTTCTTCCAAAGGTTGGGGCTGAAAATTTTGTCAGCACAAACAATACAGTAAAAACTTTAGCTGAATTTAAAAAAAAACCTGAAGAATACAAATATGCTTGTTTTTTTTAAATACCATTAGCTTGCTTCCTGAGGCAGACAGGATTAAGATTCAATCACTGTCTGACTCTGTCCATGTATACAGTACCTACCTTTTCCTCCATTTCATAATCCACTCCAAATATGGGGTTGGCAGAATACACTTTATGCAAGGAATTAATCTCTTTGAGTGCGTCTTGAAGCTTTTCTACTGGGTCGATTTTAAACCCAAGCACATATCCTCCACTCTAAAAGCAAAAGGATAGTGTAAATTTGAAATTCAAAAAACATTTAGTACAAAAATTTGGTAAATTTGAAAATCACAAGCACTGCGATCGATCAGAGAAAGTGTAATAATGTGGTTACATCAGATAAATATGAATGAAGTCACCTGTCGTGAACTCTCAATCACCAAAGCCAGGCCAAACTTTGAGTCTCTTATTCTAATGGACCACTTAAAGAAAAGCAGAATAATTATTGCATTACAGCAGAAAATGGACTTGGCATACAATATGAAACATTTTTACAACAGAGTTAACACAATAAGACTTGAATTATCGTTTAGAATTATGAGGAAAACACCTCTAATCTCACGGTGGGCTCAGGACTGAATCATTACTACTATTTAAATAAAATATTAAAAACTTTAAATAAATTCAATGGTGTTTTGTCACTCTATAAGCAAAAATAGGGGATTGTAAGACCTTGTAAGATTAAGACCTTCGTCACATTTCACACCATCATGAAAAGAAAGGGAATCAAGGGTGAGGTCAGTCAATGAAGTCTGTACATGTATTGTTCTTTATTGAACTGTACTTACAATCTGGAGGTAAGGGATGCTGACATTGAAGCTTTCATTCATGTTGGCATGCCACACAATACGAACATTGGTAATAAAAAAGGTTCCAAGGTTACCCTAAAACAGAACCGTCAGGTGAATAGAGGCTCAATTATATAAAAAAATATACACGTCATTAATTTAAATACGCTTGCATTTGAAATTACACAAAATAATAGTACACAATCAGTTTAATTTTACACTATGTCTATACAGATTTGTCATTTACCTTGGCAGAGCAAAGCAAAACTGTAAAATGTTGGTTAAATACTTTTTTCTACTACACCACCAGTACCTGGTCGCTAGATAAATTCCAAACCCCGTTGATTTTATCGTACACCTGCTCTCGAGGTAAGAGTCTCAGCTGCTTGTTTTGAATAAGAGCAGCTCGAAGTTTAAGGTCCCGGTACATCTTAGAAGTCTCATAAGCCCTGTACCAACACAAAAAACATTTATTACTTAATAAGCCATATATGGAGTTTAAAATGTCAGAATTTTACATTCCATCCGTGTGTTTTTACCTGTGTACAGCAATCACAGAGGTAAAGAGCCTTGGACTTCCTACAACCAAATTAGTAAAAATGAACTCAAATCTCGTGTTGTTGGACTTGGTTAAAATGTAGAGGGCTTCGGTTTGGCCTCGCACTTTCTAGAAAAAGAGACGTTAAGTCAGTAATTAGTTTATTCCCTATAAATGTCAAAACTAACATTGACAGCATTTTTGACTGTTCTTTTAATATTTTAAACTTTTTTAAACAAACTTGGTGAGTATTCAATACTTATTTAATCTAGAAATGTTTAGAACATTAGGAATTAAAGCTGTTTAAGTTGTGATCAAGAAAATAAACAATTTTTAAAAGAACTCTTCAGAATAAAAGAAAATTTGTATATCTAATAACATGTAAGAAAATAAAGTTTTTAATGATACATAGTTAAAACAGCGTTACTTACAGAGTTAGCTGTCCTTGTTGTGATGTTAATAATTGTGTTGTAACCCACAGCTGAAAACGATAAACATTTTTAGATGATTTAAAAATAATTCAGATTTCACTTTACTTATCTTTGCTAGCAAGCCCTTATTGAAAGTGGATCCTCAAAGTCAGAATCTCATTGCCTTAATTATTGTCAAATGGATGTTTTCATAATTTGACGCAGCATGTATTTTGTAAAACTTTTTAGTTAAAACAAATTTAGACGCTGAATGTACAAACCGGATTCCAAAAAAGTTGGGACACTAAACAAATTGTGAATAAAAACTGAATGCAATGATGTGGAGGTGCCAACATCTAATATTTTATTCAGAATAGAACACAAATCACAGATCAAAAGTTTAAACTGAGAGAATGTCTCATTTTAAGGGGAAAATCTGTAGTTTCCAAATTTCATGGCGTCCACAAATCCAAAAAAAGTTGGGACAAGTCCATTTTTACCACTGTGTGGCATCCCTCCTTCTTCTTACAACACTCAACAGACGTCTGGGGACAGAGGAGACCAGTTTCTCAAGTTTAGAAATAGAAATGCTCTCCCATTCATGTCTAATACAGGCCTCTAACTGTTCAATCGTCTTGGGCCTTCTTTGTTGCACCTTCCTCTTTATGATGCGCCAAATATTCTTTATAGGAGAAAGATCTGGACTGCAGGCTGGCCATTTCAGTACCCGGATCCTTCTCCTACGTAGCCATGATGTTGTGATTGCTGCAGAATGTGGTCTGGCATTATCATGTTGAAAAATGCAGGGTCTTCCCTGAAAGAGATGGCGTCTAGATGGGAGCATATGTTGTTCTAGAACCTGAACATAGTTCTCTGCATTAACGGTGCCTTTCCAGACATGCAAGCTGCCCATGCCACAAGCACTCATGCAACACCATACCATCAGTGATGCAGGCTTCTGAACGGAGTGTTGATAACAACTTGAGCTATCCTTGTCCTCTCTGGTCCGGATGACATGGCGTCCCAGTGTTCCATAAAGAACTTCAAATCGTGACTCATCTGACCCCAGAACAGTCTTCCATTTTGCCACACTCCATTTTAAATGACCCCTGGCCCAGTGCAAACGTCTGAGCTTGTGGAGCTTGCTTAGAAATAGCTTCCTCTTTGCACTGTAGAGTTTCAGCTGGCAACGGCGGATGGCACAGTGGATTGTGTTCACTGACAATACTTTCTGGAAGTATTCCTGAGCCCATTCTGTTATTTCCTTGACAGTGGCATTCCTGTTTGAGGTGCAGTGACGTTTAAGGGCCCGTAGATCACAAGCATCCAGTAGAGTTTTATGGCCTTGACTCTTACGCACAGCGATTGTTCCAGATTCTCTGAATCTTTTGATGACGTTATGCACAGTTGATGATGATAACTTAAAAGTCTTTGCTATTTTACGCTGGGTAACACCATTCTGGTATTGCTGCACTATCTTTCTGCGCAACAATGGTGGAATTGGTGATCCTCTTACCATCTTGGCTTCTGAGAGACAATGACACTCTGAGAAGCTCTTTTTATACCCAATCATGTTGTCAATTGACCTAATTAGTGTTAATTGGTCTTCCAGCTGTTCGTTATATGCTCAATTTCCTTTTTCCAGCCACTTATTGCTACTTGTCCCAACTTTTTTGGGATTTGTTGACACTGTGAAATTTTGAATCAACATATTTTTCCTTTAAAATGTTACATTTACTCAGATTAAACTTTTGATCTGTCATCTATGTTATATTACGAATAAAATATTGACATTTGCCATCTCCACATCATTGCATTCAGTTTTTATTCACAATTTGTTTAGTGTCCCAACTTTTTTGGAATCTGGTTTGTACAGAAAATTTACAAATGAGTTTGATTACTTCAGAATGTACGTAATATTACAACCATACTGTACCCCATCACAGTTACTTAAAAATAATAAATCACTCAGTTTACAGGCAGCCCAGTAAAAATAATTAAATATTAACATGATTAGGCACTCACACAAGTTGACTCTTGGCAGGGACAAACAGTGCCAAATGATTCTCAGGTTTGTTACCAAAAGTCGTCCTGCAGAGACAAACAATATTTTTATGATCCAGTTGGGCTGTCACACACAAATGGTCCACATCATTGGGATTAAAAGGACCTCGTTCTCCATTGTTTCCTTTCGTATCTTCAATTGAGTCCAAACAATCAATCAGCGCCTCTCCTGGACGAGTTTTCATTTGCCTGTGAACAGGGAATATTTTTTGTTGATTTATAGCATATATTTATTTTTATCAATTGGTTAAAATATAAAGGAAAAAGACATGAAAGCCCTGGGATATAAAGCTAACCTTGTTGTGCAAAATTACAAGTCTAGGCTGTAGCGTTATCTGCTTAGCTTTGTTTGTAGAGCTCATGCTAACCTAGCTATACGACATTAAAATACCCGAAAATATTTTAATAACTCACTGCGCTGTTATGTCAAATCTGACGTCTCTGTCTTCCCAGAGAGTATCCAAAGCAGAAGCCATGACTTTAAGTAATAACTCGTAGAGTTTAATAACCACCACCCCTGGCTAACGACTAATACATAACACTGGATGTGCTAACAACATACATAAGCTTGCGTGACGTTTCAATCGCCATGGTAACAGACGGCAAGCCAAAAGGACAAAAGGTATTTCGAACTCGTACTGTACATGTACAAGAACAAACCTTACTGTATAATAAAAATCCTACCTTAAAGTCACAAATGTGGCACTTTCAGTTCTCAGTTGGAAATGTTTCCTTCAAGTTTGTTTTGTGTAACAAAATATATAGTTCTTCAGACGAATTTCTTAACTAATGCCTTTGGGTAATGATAAATTTAATCAACCGGTCAATGTTTTGCAATTTATAAATTTTGCTTATTATGTTTTTGGTATCTGCCCCAAACCGTTTATCACTGGCTGCAGATATGCTATTGAATATGACACAAACCCTTTCACAGCCAAACAATAAAAATAAAAAATAAAAAAAACCTCTTAAAATTAAATAAAATTTTTGATTATTATACTTTACACAAAACATATATAAAAATAAAAATCAGGATCCAGTTTTCGTGACGTTTAAATTATAATTTTTTTTTCTCCACATTAGGTTATTCATATCCGTAAAAACCTATATTCAAAGACCTCTTAGAAAATGACATAATACTGAGATAACAGACAAAATAAATTAACTATGGTACAATATTTTTTCCCAAAAAAGGTATTCATAGTTTTATTACAAATGTAGTGATCGTGACAGAACATTTAGGGAGTCCATGTTGACTCTGACCGAAACAAAAAGACTAGAAAAAGTAGTCAGTTTGCTCGATTAAAAATAATTTGTTAGCGAGTTCATAAAATACAAATTGACATTTATTTTTCTGTTGCCACAATGCACCAACAAATGTAACCAGATGGTGATACTTGTGTTTTTAATAAATACACACGACATACTCCTGTAAAGTTTATTTATCACAAAGACATAAAGTATACATATACGTTCAGATATACAAATAATGTAAAAAATAAAAAGGTTTTAACTAACTTCAATGAAACACAACAATGGTCGTAGACCCCTGATAGCAACATCCAACAATTACAGCTGCCATAATCTCAATAAACATATAGCAATGAAAAGAAACAAAACTACTAAAAACACGATTAAGCAAATCATATCAACACAATTTAAACAATAACTATATCACCGTTTTCTGAATGTAAAACATGTGGCTCAAAGTGAGGATGAATGAATCTATAAGTTAATCGTTAGATTAAATTAAATATATTTTCTGAGGCTTCAGAGCAGACAAATCCTCCAAATGTATACACATGCACACCTATATATATATATATATATATATATATATATATAT